AGGGGTCCAAGATTATCTTCTGTGTCTGTGTTAATTGGTTTCCCTTTTCTTTGTTGAAGAGGGTCTGTGCAATCCTTCTGTCTAATCCGCCATCTTGCCCCGCCTCCTGCTTGACTTTTTTTTTTATCATAGTGAACTAATACAGTATTTGTCCTTTTATGAATGACTTATTTCACTCAGTATAATGTCCTCCAAGTTCATCCATGTTATGTGGTGTTTCACAGATTCTACATTACTCTTTAGTGCTGCATTGTATTCAATTGTGTGTATGTACCATAGTTTGCTTATCTATTTTTCTGCTGATGGGCGCTTAGGGGTCCCATCTCTTTGCTATTGTGAATAGTGCTGCAATGAACATGGGTGTGCATATATTTGTTCTTGTCCTGGCTCTCTGTTTTTTAGGATACATACCTGGTAATGGGACTGATGAATCAAATAGTATGTCTAATTCTAACTTTTTAAGGAATCACCATACTGCTCTCTACAGTGTTGTATCATTTTACAGTCCCACCAGCAGTGTATGAGAATCCTGATCTCTCCACATCCTTGCCAGCATTTGTTATTTTCTGTGTTGTTCCACTGTAGAGTATCTAGTCTGTGGCCAGCACTGTGCTGAGCAGAGGGAAGAGTGGTAATCTAGACATGCCATCCCTGTACCAGAGTGCTCATCAAAGCCTAGATGATGTCTGTGGCACACTGACACCACCACCAGGCCCTGCCCCATATACTTGATGAGGGCAAATGGGAGGCAATGTGAAGGGTAAGAGCTGGAGCTCTGGAACCAGACAGCCCTGAGCTCACATCCTAGCACAACCTCTGTCTAGCAGCATGACACAAACTAGCACCTTCACCTCAAGGAGCTTCAGTTTCCTCATTGATGACATGAACAGAACAATCCTTTCCTTTCTTGCCTTGCACATGGAAATGCTCAACCAATGCAGGGGTTATTATTACTTCATGAGGCAGTGACATGACACCAGATCCTCAGGACAGTTCAGCAGGGCCTGCAGAGTTTCAATCAGGGAAGGAAGTCAGCACCCTGGGCTTACCTGGCTTAGTACAAAGAAGGTGCGGACATTCCAGAAGCGGGCCTGCTCCTGGAGGAAGGGTTTCAGGTAGATACCCTCAAAGGTCTTGAAGCAGCCGACCAGAGTGACGAAGGTCTCATCGTCTGCATTGTCTGTGATGCTCTGCAGGATGGGCACCATGGGGGCCAGGCCCGTTCCTGCAGCCAGCATGAGGAGCTCACCATACTAGGGGTTGAGAATGGTACAAGACAGGGTCAGGCTGGGGGTGCTCCTAGGACAAAGAGGCTTCACCCAACCACCCCACCCCCTAGGCTTTTTTGGGGGCTGGCTTGGATTGCACCACACAGCCCTTTCTGGATGTCCCATCCATCTACTTCCTCCAGGCCTTGCTTGTGAAAGGCTATAGCCAAGTGAGTACTGTGTAATAGAAATCATGAAATTGGAGCTGATAGGGAACATAACCATGCAGCCCATCCTACAAGTGGTTTGACTGCTTTCTGAAGCAGTCCACTGGATTCTTTGCTCACACACTTTCACTGACAGGGAACTCACTAACTCCAATGGCAGCTTGTTCCATTAGGTATACCCTCTTGGCAGGGAGGTCACTCTTTACCTCCCATTGACCTTGAAGCCTACCCATGCCAAAGCCTTGCCCACAGCCTGCCATCTGAGCCCTGCTCTCTGGGCTCCTTCTTTTGCCCTGGGGCAGCACTGCAAAGATCTGAGGCTCAGCCTTGGCTCCTTGAGCCATTTCTTTTCAAGTTGAAATGAGATCATATTCTTAAATGCCTAGCACAGTGCCTGGCCCTGAAGAGCCAAGCAATAAAGGTCAGTTCTTACCCAAGAGGCTCCAGTTCCATTAGCCCCTTCTCCACGAATCAATTTCCTGCCTCTAGGCCTCTGGCCACATGCCTGCTTCTTAAAGAAGGGAAAGCCTCCAAGTAGTGCCTGAGTTGTGCAGTAAGATATTCACCTTCATCATTCTAGAGACTAGGCCTCTGTGAATGCAACCAGAGTTTTGACAAGCTTTACTGACAGCCACTGCCCACCACATTGCTGCATATAATGCTTCCTGAACAGAGTATAGAGATCTGAGTATAAATTTGGGCAAGTTCTCTCACCTCTCTGAGCCTTGGTTTCTGATAAAAAATACTAGTACCTATCTCAGAATTGTCATGAGGGCTAAATGAGTTGATGTAGATAAAGCACTTGGTGCAGAGTCTGAGGTTTAATAAACTAGACTCCTTGCCTTGCCTAACCCCCTGGGATTTCCTCATGTCAGCAGCCACGAGCCCCATCAGTGTTCATGCTCCTCTACCCTCCAGGTCTTTGCACTTGACTGTTTCCATCTCAGCTCATACTCTCCTCTGGAAGCCTTCCCTGAGCCTGAGGCAGGTAACGGGTCCTTCTTTTGTGTTTCCACAGCCCCCTGTGCAACCCTCTTCACAACACTGGCTACAGTGTGTTGCTGTCATCTGTCTTTCCCATCAGACTGTGAGCTTCTGTAGGACAGGGGCCTCACGTGACCCATTTCTTAGTCCCCAGTGTCCAGCATGGGTTTGGCTCAGGATGGATACTTGTGAACATCTACCGAATAAATACATGGAAAGATGGTAAGGTGCCAGTCCTCAGGGCTGATGTAATAGCCACCTGTAATGAAGATGACTGAAAGAGGCAAAACAGGGCCAGGAAGGTGGCAGGAGCACCCTGAACCTCCTCACAGGGCAAAGCCAAGCCTGGCTGCCATTTCAGTGGCTGTTCACATGTAAGGCACCATCCCTTTCCTCATCTCTTACCCCTATAGCCTCCCTAGATATGAAATGCAGGGGCTTTCAAGTGGTGTTCTGTGCGTGCAGAGGAGCAGCGACATGGAATAGGTGCTCAAGACCATGTTCATCAAGGGTTCACTCTAGGCCAGGCACTGGGCTAGGCACCATGGGGGAAACAGGAGTCCCTGCTCTCAAGGGGTTGAGGACAGAGGGACACACTCAGCTAACATGCAAGGCTACACATGGCTAGTACCAGAAGACTGAGTATTAATATATACATAGCCATCTCTGTAAAGTAGGGATAAGAACACCTAAAAGCTGTTGTGAAGATTAAATGAGGTACTGTGTGACAAGTGCTAAGATAAGAGCCTGGCATATAGGAGGTACTACACAAGTCTTTGATGTTATTATTGTACATATACACTGTATGTGTATACATATGTATGCTTATACATATACCATGTACAGCACAGGAAGGACACGCACCAAGGTATTAAGAGTGGTGTATCTAGGGAGGTGGCCCGTAGAGTGTTTTTTATTTTCTTCTCTGCCTCTCAGTATCTGCTGATTTTTTTTCTTTGGCAATGAACGTGTACTGCTTTGGTAATAAGAAAAAACCCAATAAAAGCTATTTTAAAATTAAACAAAAAGAATAGAGAGGGAGGCATGATTCATTCTTTTTCATTTGTTTTTGTTTTCCTTTGTATTTCTAATTATAAAGGTAATAGGTGTTCAATGCAGATAATTTAGAAAGCATAATGAAGGAAATAAAAATCACCCATAATTCTACCATTGAGAGCTGCTAACATTTGTTGCATTTGTTTTCCATATTTTTTGGTGCATATTATCATAGTTTCTCAACCTGTGTATTCAATTCTGTACCTCATGTTTATTACTTAAAGGAGCTCTGGTGGTATAGTGGTTAAGGCATTTGGCTGCTAACCAAAAGGCTGGTGGTTCAAACCCAACAGCCGCTCCATGGAAGAAAGATGAGACAGTCTGCTTCTGTAAAGATTTACAGCCTTGGAAACCCAGTGGGGGTTGGTATGAGTTAGAACTGACTTGATGGCAGTGAGTTTGTTTTTTTGGTTTGGTTTGTCACTTGATCTTATAGCATTAGCAAATAGCATCATTTATAAACATCATTTATTAGATCCAGGATAATATTTTATCAAGTACTTGTAACCCAGTTTACTTAACAGTTCCCCTATAATTGGATACTCAGTTGTCTCCAATTTCATGCTATTATAAATAAAGTTGCAATGAACCTGTGGAGAAGAATCAGCATTTTGGAGTCTATCCTATGGAAAGTAGAATTAATGGGTCAAAGGATTTCAAGATTCTTGGTACATACTGACAATCACTTTACAGATCAGCACCAACTGATGAGAAATGATTAATTCTTCATGGGAAAGTCAGGGAAGGATTTGAACAGTCATCATGAGGAGGAGAAGAGCCTTTTGGGCTGGGAAGCACCAGGTCCCCAGCAGCAACCCATGGAACACTCTTTCTAGTCATGTGACTGGAACATGAAATTGACTAGTATTTGGTGGGTCAGATAGTATGCTACCACCAGTTGCTGTCATGTTGATTACAGCTCATGGTAACTCCACGTGTGTCAGAGCAGAACTGCTCCATAGGTTTTTTAATGGTTGATGTTTTAGAAGTAGATCACCAGGACTTTCTTCTAAGGTATCTCTGGGTGGACTTGACTTCTAACCTTTCAGTTAGAGTGCAGTGTATTAACTGTTAAAAGTGCAGTGCATGACATGGGGACCCCCAGATGGTATAAAAACCTACTGATGTTAAGCTGATTCCAACACATACTAACCCTATAGGACAGAGTAGAACTGCCCCATAGGGTTTCTAAGACTGTAAATCTTTATGGAAGCTATTCTTGTTGTTAGGTGCCATAGAAGTCAGTTGTGACTCATGTGATCCTATGTACAAAATGAAACACTGCCTGGTCCTGAACCATTCTCATGATTGCTGCTATGCTTGAGCCCACTGTTGCAGCCACTATGTCAGTCATCTCATTGAGGGTCTTCATCTTTTTCACTGACTCTCTACTGTACCAAGCATGATGTCTTTCTCCAGGGACAGGTCCCTCCCAATAACCTGTCCAAAGCACATGAGATGAAGTCTCACTATTCTCTCTTCTAAGGAGTATTCTGGCTGTACTTTTTCCAAGAAAGATTGGTTCATTCTTCTGGCAGTCCATGGTATATTCAATATACTTTGCCAACATGACCATTCAAAGGCATCAATTCTTCGCTCTTCCTTATTCATTGTCCAGCTTTCACATGTGTATAAAGCAACTGAAAATACCATGGGTTAAGTCAGGTACAACTCAAAGTAATAAATTTGCTTTTTAACACTTTAAAAAGGTCTTTTGCAGCATTTTTGCTCAATGCAATGTTGTTGTTGTTGTTAGGTGCTGTCGAGTCGTCTCCGACTCATAGCAACCCTATGCACAACAGAACGAAACACCGCCTGGTCCTGCGCCAGCTCCACAATCCTTGCTATACTTGAGCCCATCGCCGCTGCCACTGTGTCAATCTATCTCGTTGAGGGTCTTCCCCTCTTTCGTTGAACCTCCACCTTACCAAGCATGACATCCTTTTCCAGTGAATGGTCCCTTCTGACAACATGACCAAAGTATGTAAGATGAAGTCTGGCCATTCTTGCTTCCAAAGAGCATTCCAGCTGCACTTCCTCCAGGACAGATTTGTTAGTTCGTTTAGCAGTGCATGGCACTTTCAGCATTCTTTACCAATACCACAACTCAAAAGCATCGACTCTTCTTCAGTCTTCCTTATTCATTGTCCTGCTCTCACATACATATGAGGTGATGGAAAATGGCTCATGTCAGGCTCATCCTACTCCTCAAAGAGGCATCTTTGCTCCTCAGCACTTGAAAGAGGACCTTTGCAGCCAATTTGTCCAGTGCTATATGTCATCTGATGTCCTGACTGCTGTTTCCATTGGCACTGATTGTAGAACAAAGCAATGTGAAGTCTTTGACAACTTCAATCTTTTCTCCATTTATCGTGATGCTACTTATTGGTCCAGTTGTGAGGATTTCTGTTTTCTTTATATTGAGATACAATCCATACTGCAGACTGTAGTCATCAATCTTCATCAGTAAGTGCTTCAAGTAATCCTCATTTTCAGCAAGCAAAGTTGTGTTGTCAGCATATCTCAGGTTGTTAAGGATTCTTCATCCAATCCTGATGCTACACTCTTCTTCATATAGTCCAGCTTCTTGGATTATTTGCTCAGCATATAGATTGAATAAGTATAGTGAAAGGATACAACCCTGATGTACTCCCTTCTTGATTTTAAACTATGCAGTATTCCCTTGTTCTGTTAGAACAACTTCCTCCTTGTCTATGTATAGGTCCCTCCTGAGTACAATTAAGTGTTCTGCAGTTCCCATTCTTCTCAATGTTATCCACAATTTGTTATGATCTACACAATCAGATGCTTTTGCATAGTCAATAAAACACAAGCAAACATCTTTCTGGTATTCTTTGCTTTAAGCCCAGATCCATCTGACATCAGCAATGATATCCCTCATTACACATTCTCTTCTGAATCCAGCTTGCATTTCTGAAAGTTCTCTGTCAATATACTGCTGCAACAATTTTTGAATTATCTTCAATAAGATTTTACTTGCGTGCGACATTAATGATATTGTTCGATAATTTCCACATTCTGTGGATAACCTTTCTTTGGAATGGGTACAAATATGGATCTCTTCCAGTCAGCTGGCCAGGTAGCTGTCTTCCAAATCTCTTGGCATAGCTGAGTGAGTGCCTCCAGTGGGGCATCCATTTGTTGAAACATCTCAATGGGTATTCCATGAATTCCTGGAGCCTTGTTCTTTGCCAATTCCTTCAGTGCAGCTTCGACTTCTTCCTTCAATACCATTGGTTCTTAAACATATGCCACCTCCTGAAATGGATGAAGATTGACCAGTTCTTTTTGGTACAGTGACTCTATGTATTCCTTCCATCTTCTTTTGATGCTTCCTGCAACATTCAGTATTTGCCCATTAAAAAACAAACAAGCAAGCAAGCAAGCAAACAAACTCATTGCTATGGAGTCAGATCTGACTCAAAGCGACCTCTCCTTCGGTTTCTGAGGAAGTATCACTATGGAAGTCAATATTGCAACTCGAGACTTAATTTTTTTCCTCATTTCTTTCAACTTGAGAAATGCCAAGCATGTTCTTCCCTTTTGGTTTTCTAATTCCAGGTCTTTGCACATTTCATCATAGTAACTGGCTTTGTCTGCTCGAGCTGCTCTTTGAAATCTTCTGTTCAGCCCTTGTATCTTGTCATTTCTTCCATTTGCTTTAGCTACTCTCCACTCAAGGTCTTTTCTTGTCTTTTTAATGACCTCTTGCTTTCTTCTTGGATGATGTTCTTGATGTCATCCCACAATTCTGTTTTGAACTTGCATAAGAGCAGTTGATGGCTTGTTCCACAATCAGCTCTTGGTTGTGTTTTGGCTGAAGATATTGAGCTTTTCCATTGCCTCTTGCCACAGACACAGTCAATCTGATTACTGTATACGTCATCTGGCAAAGTCCACATGTATAGCCACTGTTTGTGTTGTTGGAAAAAGGTATTTGCAATGAATCTTGCAAAATTCTACCATGCGAGTTCCAGTGTTATTTCTGTCACCAAGGCCAAATTTTCCAACTACCAGTGATTCTTCTTTGTTTCCAACTTTTGCATTCCAGTCACCAGCAATAATTAACACATCTTGATTGCATGTTTGGTCAATTTCAGACTGCAAAAGTTGATGAAAATCTTCAATTTCCTCATCTTCAGCTTTGGTGGTTGGTGCATAAATCTGAATAGTAGTAGTAGTAATTGGTCTTCCTTGTAGGCATATGGATATTATTTTATCACTGACAGCATTGTACTTCAGGACAAGTCTTGAAACATCCTTTGTGATGATGAATGCCATGCCATTACTCTTCAAACTGTCATTGCCAGCATAGTAGATCATATGGTTGTCTGATTCAAAATGGCCAAAACTGGTCCATTTCAGCTCACCAATGCCTAGCATATCAATCTTTATTCATTCCATTTCATTTTTGACAACTTCCAATTTTCCTAGATTCATATTTCATACATTCCATGCTCCAATTATTAATGGATGTTTGCAGCTGTTTCTCCTCAATCTGAGTCGTGCCACATCAGTAAATGGAGGTCCCAAAAGCTTATCCATATCATTACAGTTGGTTCTACTCTGATGAGGCAGCTCTTTCCCAGTTGTATTTTGAGTGCTTTCTGACCTAAGGGGCTCATCTTTCTGCACTGTATCAGACAATGTTTCCAGGCTATTCATAAAGTTGCCCAGTAATGTATCAGACAGTGTTTCTCTGCTATTTATAAGGTTTTCTCTGGCCAATTCTATGAGAAGTGGATAGCCTCTTCCTTCTTCCCAGTCTTTCTCAGTCTGTAAGCTGCATTGAAACCTGTGCACCACGTGCAACCCTGCTGGCGTTTGAAACACTGGTGGCACAGCCTCAAGCCTCACAGCAACATGCAAGCCACCACAGTATGACAAACTGACAAACAAGTTTGTCTCCCTTAGTTGTTGGGAACCTCTCCGCCTTCCCCTTACCTAATTCCTACTGGGATCCTGCCGCTTTGTTGTCCCCAGTGCTCCCTCACTTTCCTGTCTCTGGGAATTGCTCGATGCAATACATCCAAATTTCTTGGCATAGATGAAGAAGCACTTTCAGCATTGCATCTGTTTGCTGAAGCATCTCAGTTGGTACTCCTTCAATTACTGGAGCCCCATTTTTTGCCAATGCCTTCAGTGCAGCTTAGACTTCTTACTTCAATTTCTTCTATCCTTACAGAAGCTAGGGATCCTAAATACTAGGTACACAAGTCTGAGTTTTCTAAGAAATAAACATCCATGATGGTCTGGAACTTGGACAAGCAGTTTTATTTATTAGTGCCTATTCCATCTCCTCCTATTTCCAATCCCAGAGATGCTCCTGAAATTAGATTTGAGCTCAGGTAAAATGGCACAGTGAGATTCTATGGCCTGAAACATATAGTCCTGAAAACTATAGTCTAGGAGGGTAAGTTGTGGGAGGTTTCATGAGGATTTAGTATGCCAGTACTGACCTGGTTTGGTTTATAGAAGAAGCCTCCAAAAGGTCCTCTCCAGAAAGCTGTATCTCCTGCTTTCCAGGACTTGACATATTGGGACATCAGCCCAGTCTGATAGCACTGGAAGCAAACACAGGGAGGCCTTAGTGGGACAGGCATATACAGCCACTACAAACCACATTAGCTTTTAATGGGGAACCTGTCCTGCATGTTTAGTGCTTTACATGTATTAATTGCAATCATCCTGTGTAGTTGGTCTGTCATTCTCATCCCTCTGATGAGGTCCAGAGACTTACACAGAAGGTATATGGTGAAGCTAGGATGAAAATCCATAGGGCTTATAGCCTTAACCACAAAGGTCCCAAATGTCTACAGGAATCATGCATGTAGCATAACTGAGTGAAGAACAAGGTACAAGATAATTAATATTAACATCCACTCTCAGAGACACAGGAGGGAGTGGTAGGGCCTGAAATAAACTGGCGAGTGAATGCTGCTTCTAAAGGGCAAAACCATTTCACACTTCTAGTCCACAGTTTATGAGGTTGATGTTACCAGATCTGATTTCTTCTGAAATCCATCTTTTCTCCCATTTTTGAAATGTTACCAGTTAATTCAAAATTTTAAAATACCATTAGAGTCTCTGGGAAGAAAAAAACGGTTAAGCATTTGACTACTAACCGAAAGGTTGGTGATTTGAATCCACCCAGATGTGCCTCAGAGAAAGGCCTGAAATCTACTTCTGAAAGATCATAGCCATTGCAACCCTATGGAGCAGTTCTACTCTGAAGCACATGGGGTTACCATGAGTTGGGATAAACCCAATGGCAACCAATTACTGTTCAAGGCCAAAACAAAATAAATCTGTGGGCTAGCCTATACTTTGTCTCCTGAACAAATGAGAAAATGAAAGGTGAAGGGGGGACTCCTCCATGGGAGTTGGGGGAGAATAGCCTCTATTTCTGCGGTACCTGCCTATTCTGGGCCAGGTACCATGCTGGGGCTAGAGGGTAGACAGCTAGACCATAAGCTCCATGAAGACAGCCAGTGCTCAGACCAAAGGAAGGACTTAACAAATATTTGAGTGAATTGATTAATCAATCCAGATTCAGGTTCTCCCCTTAAGGAGCTCACAATCTAGGAGAGACCTAAGCTTTAGACATAAACAAGGTAGAACTAATACCCCATAAGAAAATAATGTACTGAGGGAGCCCCAAAGAGGGTACAGGCACTGCCATGGGGTAGGATGAAGGATGACATTTGAGCTGGACTTTGAAGGACAGAAAGATTGCATTCACTAGGGATAGGAGCAGGAACACAGAGAAGATTCTGGACATCAGCTATGAGAGGGTTAGGGGCTAGATAGCCCAGGTCACATTCTGGAACAGCAAGGGGACTTTTAGAGGTGAGTCATGGTGGGGTGAAGGTAAGGGGGTAGTACTGGGAGACAGGAATAAAAGGGTGTTGGAGTGAGATTATAAGCAGGCTTAAAGGAGACTGGGCTTTTCTTATCAGGGCTACTTTTAGATACCCATGCCACCTCTGGTGCTATCCCAGACTTCCTTGGGTACCATGTACATGAAACAAGGCCTGGAAGGTGGTCCTTGGCTCACCTGGAAGAGGTCTGGGAGGTAGGAGAGGGCTTTTTTCCTGACATGCTGAAGGCTTTGTCTTTAGAGGCCCTATGGCATAGGTATCACCTAAGGGAAGGGTTCTTCTTGCTATCTCCAGCACCCATACAGAGCCTGGCACAGAGTAACTGATCAGTACACTTTTGTTAAAGATACTGAATTTTTGGTTCTTCCACTTGGGATCCTATTACCCAAGGGGCCTTGAGACAATGGCATCATCTCTTTAGTTTCAGTTTCTTCATCTATAAAATGCGGATAGTATCACCTACTCTACAGGGTAGCTATAAGGTTGGAATGAAATCATGAGAATACAGAGCCAGGAGCAGTGCCTGATGCCCACTAGGTGAGAAATGTGAGTTCTTTCTTCCCTTCTAAGGGTAAACCTAAAAAAAACCTGCCTGGCTTCCCAATTTGCAAAGACATTTCTGGCTCATCCTAGTCAGTGGCTTAGGGATAATTAAGCATCTCTCTAAAGAGAGGCTTTTCGGTAAACGAAGGAGAAAATCAGCCTTGCAGCTGGGAGAGATCCAGCTGCCCTGAAGAGCTGTCTCCAGGCTTATCCTTTCAACAGAAGCACACCCAGACAAGCAGCTCGGGGAAGCAGGCCATTTGGAGAGGATTTGTGGAATCTCCCAGACAAACAGTTGCGTGTAGAAGGGATCCCATCCAAGCTTATGTGTGAGGGAATAAACACTGCCTCTGAAGGCAGACAGGGAAGGCAGTAAGGGGAGACAGTGCTGAGATCTTGGAGTCAGGGGGCCAGGGCTCACCCACCAGCAGCACTTCTCACTAGCTATGGGACCATGGGGACTCTTGGGGCCTCAGTTTGCTTATCAGTGAAATGGGAATAATAACTCCTGGCCTACAAAGGTGAAAAAGAATGTGAAATCTATTCTTGAAAATTGGTGTTCCCTAGGATTCCATTGGTGTAGTGCCTAAGGCATTTGACTGTTAACCAGAAGACTGGCAATTCAAACCCACCAGCCACTCCTCGGAAGGAACACTGGGTAATCTACTTCTGTAGAGATACCACCTCGGAAACCCAAGGAGGGGTCACTATGAGTTGAATTGACTTGAGAGCAGTGAGTGAGTGAGTTTGAGGATTCCATTTGGAAAATGATGATCTAGAATAGTATATTAGGTTGACCCATACAAACTGCTGTTCCTGTAAGTCAAGAATGTTAAGTGTATCAGCAATCTCATGTAGTTCAATCTAACTATTTTCCCCACAGAACTGGTGCTTCATAACATCTTATACATTGTTACCTACTCCCTAGGACTCTGGGGTGTTTTGTATCTAGCACACTTGGTTCATCTATTCTCTGTCAACTTCTACCCTCCAGCCACTTCCCAGAAGACCCTGTTCTTTTTTTTTTTATTTTTAGGATTTGGGTGAAGATTTACAGAGTAAATTCACTTTTCATACAGCAGTTCACATATACTTTGTCTCATGTCATTGACCAAAATTTACAATGCAGCAGCTCCCCTCCCACTTCCTCCCCATAGTTACCTCCTCCCAGTGTCCATCCCTTCATACTCTTCTGCACCCTGAGCTATCTCCCTGTGCATAAGCAGCCCTTCCTTCTCCCATGATTGTTCTCTCCAGGGCGTGTGTCTACTTGAGGTAAATGTTTAACTCACATGCCTGTACTTTGTTTGGCTGGAAACCACAGTTGTGGGTTCAATTCCAGACCTGAAGCGCAACTAGGGGCCATAGTCTCAGTGGTTACACCAGGCTCTATTGGACCAGCAAACCTGGTCCCCATCTTCTTTTTATTTATTTATTTATTTTGCCTCCAAACGATTTTGAGTTTTGTACCACATTGTTCTCCCTCTTTATGTAGGATCTCCTACATCCCTTCCAAGTGGATGGCAGTGGTAGCTGGGCACCATCTAGTTCTTCTGGTCTCATAGTTGTATAGGTTGCAGGTCGGATGGTGTACCAGTCGCTAGGACTGATTGTTTCCATTCATTTTGCTTTTCTTCTTTCTTCTTGACGAGGAGAGACCTGTTGTTGCATCTAGATGGCAGCTTCCTAGCTTTTAAGGTCCCAGTCGCTACTCGCCAAAGTAGTAGGTGGAACAATGTTTTGTATAGTATGTTATGCCAATTGAGCTTGATGTCCCCTGTGACTATGGTCCCAAGCCCGCAGGATCAACTACTTGGTCCCTCTGGGTAGCTGGCTGTGACCAAGTAATGACCATAACCTTGCCCCTTGTCAGCTCTACTATACACCTGGGAATTCTGATCATTCACATGAACTTATAGGCCCATTGTCTGCCAACCCTATATATGATCTTGGATACACTCTCCATTTAGACATACCTAATTGTTTAGCTTGTTCACCCATCTATCCGTCCCTATACCCATGTTTGCTTTCACTGACAACTCAGTACTGTATATGCAAAGGGGTTCATATTTGTTGTCTGTACTGCCCATGTAACTCTCTATGTCTTACTCATCCTCAATGCTGCCACATTAAGACCCTGTTCTTTTTCACCCCTTCTTGCCTTTGCTTATCTATTCCCTCAGCCTGGAATACCATTCCCTACCACTATCAGTTTGTACTCAAGGCCCAACTCAAATGTCTCTGACCCCCCACTTTTCCTAAGAAGTGATGACAGGTCCTCCACATCCCACCTCTTGCCTGATTCTCTAACTCATATCCTGTCCCCTTGGCTCACTGTACTGGGTTGCATAATGTCCCCCAACAAAATTCACATTTTTCTCAGAGCCTCAGAATTGATGTTATTTGGAAATAGGATTGTTTCAAATGTAATTAGGTAAGATGCTGACACAATGGAGTAGAGTGATCCCTTAATCCAATAACTTGTTGTGGCTGTTGTTATGTGCCGCTGAGTTGGACCCGACTCATAGCGAACCCTCCTTGGGTTTCCGAGGCAGTATCACTATGGAAGTAGATTGCCCCATCTTCCTTCCGAGGAGTGGCTGGTGGATTTGAACCGCCAGCCTTCTGGTTAACAGTCAAATGACTTAGGCACTACTAGTATCCTTAAAAGATGAGGAGAAGAGACACATAAGGAGAATATCCTGTGACAACAGAGCAGAAACTGGAGTGATGCATCCAGAAGCCAAGGAATGCCATTGCTGGCAGAACCAGAAGCTAAGAGAAAGGTACAGAATAGCTTCCCTCCTAGAGTCTTCAGAAAGCACATGGCCCTGCTGACACCTTGATTTTGACTTCTAGCCTCCAGAACTGTGAGAATCAGTTTCTGCTGTTTGAAGCTACCCAGTTTGTGGTAATTTGTTATGGCAGCCCCAGGAAACATGTACACACACACATACCTTTATGTTTGAATGATTACTAGTTCCCCAAATCATGACTCCCTTACCATTGTCCATGCTGTTCCCCCTGCTTAGAGCCTTCTTCACATATTTTTCTCTAGTTCTCCCCTCCTTAAATATACAACTCAAATCACAGCTCTGCTAGGATGCCATCTTGTCCTCCTTGTACCCTCAGCTGCCCTGTGCTGGGCTGTGTCACAGTGTCCATTATGTTGTACAGTCCTGGTCTGGTCACCTGTCCTGATGTGGGTCCTAGAAGCCAGGTGTTGTGTCTGACTCATCTCTGGACCCCAGTGCCCAGCAACATGGTGAGGTGTTTGGTGACTTGTTTCCCTCTTCCCTGAGCTTTCTCCTTCAATGGGTAAAATGGTGAGATGGAGCAGCTTTGATCTTCCTTTCAGTAAAATCTGTCAGGAATATACCCTGTTGGTAGTCTAGCAGGCACTGTTTCCTAGGAAAGAAGGAGCTGAGGGAGGTCCTCCTTTACCTCCCCTTGCTCCATCCTCATGCCAGCCTCTTCCTATGTGAACAATGGCTTTTCACGTCAGTGGGAACTGCTCCATCCCAACCAAACTGGCAAATGGAAGCACAAGTCCATGGCATCTTAGAGCATCTGTGTGACTCAACTCACCTTAATTAAAACTTCAAAGTACCCTTTTGCGTTGGCGGGGCTAATGGGTGTATAAGCTCTCTGGATTTCTAAGCCATCCACTATCCCCCTGGAAAAAAGAAGTCACTCAGTCAATCAGTCAGCCATTCAACAATCTCTCACCAAGTACTTACTCTGCACCAGGTTGGTAAAAGCAAAGGTGGGGCCTGGTGATCCCCCGTAGTCTTCACCAGAGGGTAGGCAGAGAGGAGCAGAGGAAAGAGCACTGGGCTCCAACATTGCCACATGTTGGCTGTAAGATGTGGGCAAGTTATTTTATTCAAGAGCTTCTGCTGCCTCTTCTGTAAAGTGGGGACAACCATCTGTGTCCTACCCACCCCAGTAGTCTGTTGTGTAGCTCTGCTTGGAACAGTACTTTGAAAACCACAGAAGGGCTACACTGATTATGTAAGCTGTTTGGAGGGCAGCATTTTGGTTTTTCTGAACTCTTCTTGACCACAGAATGATAATGATAAAAACAACGGCTAACATTTATTAAACATGTACTATCATGTGGCAAAAAGGGCTCCTAGTCCAAAGCCCAGGAGCTCTGGTAGCATAGTGGCTAAGGCACTTGACTGCTAACCAGAAGGCTGGCGGTTCAAACCCACCAGCCACTCCTCGGAAGGAAG